CATCTCATGCTTGTGTTCTAGATTCAGTAAAGACTCTACAGAATCAAACATGTTGCAGAATCCTAGTGCAGTCACTAGATTTACTTCGGTTCTGTCATGACAATCCATGACGTTTCCGTTTCCGTTTTTGTTTTCATATCTATGTTTTCAAACAAAATCAATAGTTGCTCATGCTGTCTCGCAAGTGTATTTACGCAATCAGGATCTCCAAACATGTGACCTTCCAGTCCACAGACTTTCACCAGACAGCTACGAAGTTTTACTCAGTCTTCCAGTCCCTAGCCAGGCAACCCCACATTCTTCTCTCGGTTGCTCCTGGAGGCTGTAGTCATCAGATTGTAGACGGTGTTGAGATCTCGCAAAATGCAATCCGTGTTTAGTTCACTTTGAATGTCCTGTGTTGCTCGCAATATCGAATCGGCATTTGGACTTGAACATCATGATGGCTTCATTAGTTCCCACACAACCATCAAACGTGTCTTCAGTAACTCGTCTGAGAACCCCAATTCAAACTATATTCTGTTATCAGATTTGGCACGGAACGTGCAGTCACTCTTTCTTCTGGTACAAGCCCCAACTTGACTTGTTGACTGGCAATACTTCTAATCGTTGCTAATCTAGACAACTAGAACATTAGCAACATTGTTTGTTTGTAACCCAATTGGCAATCAGGTATGTCTTCATTGATGAAAGGGTTGTATGCCATAGTGGTACGACTTTTTTTTATCAGTCCAGAGTATTCACTGGCTTTCAGAAGTGTCCCTATCGGTTCTTTGGTGGGTCTGAGCTCTTATGTAGAAAATTCAACTTCATCAATCTTCCTTAACGGTTCTAGCTCTACAGGTTCTTTCATATTCACTCTCAGCGGCTTGCTTTGATGATTGTCCAACAGCGCTTGTTAAAGCAACGTTTTTTCAAGTTAACTGTCTTCTCTGAACACTTTCTGGCATGTGTTCAGCGCTGGTGCCTATATCTGTTCCAATAAGAACCGGACAAAGCATGACACTCACACAACACGATAAAACTCTAAGGTTAAATCATTTAGTGACCATGAAACTGTTTATATATTCAAAACAGTGTAAAATCATTATATTCAGCTATCGGGATTCTTTTTTAATTGAGAGCAGCAAAAAAAAACAATTATCGAGTTAGGGAAAAAATATTAGCAATTAATATGTTGCCTATTTGAAACTCGAAAGGGTTTCTAAGGGGAAAGGTTTACCTATTTACTGCGGCACTAAACAGACAAAACTGAAAGGTTGTTGTTTTTCTCAAGTGAGTATTCATTGCACCCACCGAGTTATCTTTCTGTTTTTCTGCCTCATGACTGCCCGAGCTAAACTCACTAATAATCTCTGGGCATCTTCTCCTTCGAAAAAATTTGTTTTGGATTACTATCTGTAGTAAAGTAATTGTCTAGCTCCGATTATTCTGACATTCAACTGCGATTTTCCGGGTTTCAAATGTGATTTGTCTTACGTTATTATTCAGGCTAGTTCTGCTTTTTGGCTAGCCAAAATTGCAGTCACTAGTTTCTTATGTTTATTTTTGGTTGAAATTTTATCCTAATAATTCTTCAAAAGTTGAGTTAATTTTCCATATCCGTGTATCCGTGGGGACGCTCCACTGTGCATATTTAAAGTGTCCGTTCTCTATTCCGTCCGAGTTGAGCATAAGTTTTTACAGATGGTCTATTTTTGTGATCCCTCCGAACTAGTGAGTAGAGATCCCTCCGTGTACGGTCGAATTAAGACCTTTCCGAACTGCAATCCTTCCGGGTACGGTCAAAATAAGGATCCCCACCGGATCGACGAAATAGGGACCCCCTTCGGGTACGGTCGAATACCCAGGACCCCAAGACTTCTCCGGGTACGGTTTAAAAATCAAGACCCCTCTGGGTACTATCGAATACACAGGATCCCTCCGAGTACCGTCGAAAACGCAAGGCTCCTCCGGGTACGGTCAAAAAATTAAGACCACTCCGAGTACGGCCGAAAAATCAAGACCCCTCTGGGTGCAGTTCGAAAATCAAGACCCCTCCGGGTGCGGTCGGAAAAACAAGACCCTCCCGGAAACGGTCGAAAAATCAAGACCTTCCAGGTACGGTCGAAAATCAACAACCCTCGGGGTACGGTCAGAAGCACACGACCACTCCGGGTACGGTCGGAAAAACAAGACCACTCCGTGTACGATCGAAAAGTCAAGACCCTTCGGGTTCGGTCGAAAAATCAAGACCCCACTGGGTACGGTAAAAGAACCAAGGTCGCTCCGGGAAGCAAGACCTCTCAAGGTACGGTCGAATTAGGACCACCCCTCCGGGTCGCGACCCTTCCGGTTGACGGAACAACACCCCTCCGGGTACGGGCGAACAAACAAGACTCCTCGTGGTATGGTCTCATGCAGAAAACCTTTCCGGGTACGGTCGATTTAACAACAATACCGCTCCGAGAACAGTCTGATATAGAAGATCCCCCGGGTACGGTAGATTTAACAACAAAACCCCTCCCCTCCGGCTACGGTCAAGTCGTGCTTCTACGGGCAAGTCGTGCTGCTGCCGGGAAGAGCCTACCTCCAAAAACGGCGAGATTTGCTCAAAACTTTTGAACATTTTTCTAGTGTTTAATCTCTCCTACAAAAGATTAATTATTGTGCAAGTTTGTTAAATTTCCGATCTAATGGTACCAAATGAACCGCTTTCGGGTTGGGAGGAAAAAACACAAGCTGCGCCATAGCTCCTTCTGGTTTGATGAAGTGCTCGGATTAAAATTGGTGCGTCTCTTATTAACATGTTGTTGTCGAAGTGAGCTTATAACTTCACTACAGCTATCAAATAGTGAAAGAAATAATAGCTATTGTAAATTAATAGACATGTACTTTTTTAAATTAAAAAACTTTTTTAGGTATAAGCAATGCGAAATTATTTCAGCTGTTTTTGCACATTAAATCTTTCTTTTTTCTACGAGTTCAGTCTGATACTCTGCTTGATAATTCTTGTTTAAATTTGTAGATCTTGCCTTTCATCAAACCAGGGGCCGAAAGTTTTCTCGAGGGGGAGCGGATATTAAATAAATAGGTTTGTGGTAACTTTTTGAAAGGTTTGGACCAAAAGTTAGCGTTTTTTGGCGCGCACTACTCCCTAAAAAGTTTATCTCGGGTCAGGTGAAAACACCGCTCAAACTGCTCAAGTCTTGCTTTAAAAATTGCTCAAGAGCCGCTCATTCCTTGCACCAAGTTTTGAACGGTTTTTCACGCAAGGTTTGAGCGGTTTTTGAGCGGTTTAATAAAAAAAAAACGAAATAAAATCATCAAAAGACCTGGAAAAAGCAATGTGATGCTACCCGAGTCGAGGTTGTGCATTAAGATCAAACGGTCACGACCAAATATTGGCATTTCCAGATTATCGCGACCGAAATTGGATATTTTCAGACCGCCGCAAAAAATTTTTGGAATTTCCAGACCTTGCGGGCCGAGGAAATGTGTCCGCGACCGGCGGGACCGAAGGAAAGTTAACCGCGACCGGCGCGACCAAAAGAAAATTAACAGCGACTGACGCGACCGAAAGAAAGTTAGTCACGGTGATCGAAACATTAGTCGCGAATGTCGGAAAAATAGTCGCGACTGTCGAAAAATTAGTCGCAGCATGGTAAAAAAAATTAGTCGAGGCGGTCGTAAAATTAGTCGCGGCGGTTGACAAATTAGTCGCGGAATGGTCAAAAATTCATCAAGGCAGTCAAAAAATTAGTCGCGGCGGTCGTCTGCTCTAAAGCTTTGTTCCAATTTTTGGAGGTGAGGTATATAGATTTTTTTGAGATGACGGACTTTATACGCTTCAATATTAGTTTTATATCTCTCATTTCCCAAACGGAGATCCTGTTCAGTGTGTCTTTTTTGCCGATTTTTTTTTCGTTCTTCGAAACAGTCGATTCGTGAAAAGAGTATCAAATTTTTAAGTCTTGTAGCCTCAAGGTAAGTGCTAACGTTTCTAATGTGATTAGTTGTTATAATAAACTGACGACTCTCATTTTTTGATAACTGAGTGTTTCATTTGGCAGTTTTTTAGTTTTCTGTTTTTATAGTGACGATTTTGTCGTTGTCCCCCAAAAAAAAATTCTTATATTTTTTGGAACCATGTGCAGGCCTTCTTGTGGCGGTCTTGTATATAATCAGCAAATATGCTGTTCTAGCTAGCTGCACTTTAAAACTACATATATACTGGGTGTTTTGCAATTTGCAACTGTTTTACAGTTTTGCAAGCAAAAAATTCAATAAATTCCAAATAAAGCCAAAATAGTTCTAGTTTTAAAGTAACACTTGCTGCTTGTATTTCCATGTTTCTGTTTATTTGATGAATATTCTTGATTTGAAGCAAGATTTGACTGGTTTGAGCGGTTTCTGAGCGGTTATCTTAACAAACCGCCCAAAAACTGTGCAAGATTTGAGCGGCTTATCTAGAAAAACCGCTCAAATTTTGCGTGGTTTTTGAGCGGTTTGTTAAAAAAACCGCTCAGAAACCGCTCAAACCATTTAAATCTTGCGCGGTTTTTGAGCGTTTGTTTTTGATAAACCGCTCAAAAACAGCTCATTATGAAGCAAGATTTTGAGCGCAACCGTCTAGAAAAACCGCTCAAACCGCTCAAATCTTGCTTCAAATTAGGTGAAAAATCTCGACTCGGTATACAAAAAGTTATTTATATAGGCGCCCTTAGAAAATTTGTAATCGTTGTTCTGGCAAAATTGGATTTCCTGACATATTACTATTCCTAAGAAGAGGGCGTCCCTCCCATGGAATCCGCTGCCACGTCATACAGATGTTGCCGCGAAGAAACCGTTTTAGAGTTCTAAGAAAGTTTTTCATCGAAGTCAAGTTAATTCAAGTTTTGGTGGCCTGAAGGTAGAACGAAGGTTGAAACGCCTTGCCATATGATAATTTCCTTACTAATAACGATTTTTGTCGTCATTAATACCGACCAGATATACTCAGTTTGGAAACAAAATGAGAATGCGTGAATAATATTTCAATTGAAGGCAATTTTTGCTGAAGTATGATGTTTTTGACCTTTGTATAAAGAGTATATGTTATTTATGACTAGAATTTATTTTTGTTCTTATACTTTCTAGAAAGATCTAGAATATTTCCGATTAATTTATCTTCTTTGTTTCTCGCCTCTGTCACAGATTGTGGATCCTCCTTATTTGGAGCTCTCAAGTCCAAATGATGAGCTCCTAGGTCCAGAATCACAGTTGGCAGCATGTAATCAGTACTGGAGAGGATTCCAGCTCCGTGCCAGGGATCCAAGAGTCCGTTGCTCCAGATGATGTTGGAACTGGACCAGACGTCGGATCCCCAGAAGTTAATGGCGAACCAGTCGTGTCGACTGGTGATTCCATATTTTTTCGAGCAGTATGCGTCTCGGGTCTCGTCTGTAAAAGGGAGGTCAGGAAACATGCTGGTCTTGGAGCTGCTTCCTACAGCTAAAATAGCAACATATTTGTATGATGACGCTTGCTCAAGATACGATTTTAATGAGAGGTCTAAGACAAAAAAAATGCTTCTTTAAACTTAATAAGAATGCTTTTTAACGAAAATACTCATTATGTCAAAAATACTTTTTATAGAAAAATTAATCGATTCAATTGTACGAACGTATATGGTGTGTGCGGATGATAGTGTGTGAGTACGAGCTCTCACTTGACCTCTAGCTTCAGGTCTACCACAGCCTGACCAATTACGGCTGCAATAGTGGTACCACGTGAAAGTTCTAGACGAAAAAAACGGCCTTGAGTCGCAAAAAAGAGCTTCGCTCGGCAAAAAAATCGGCCTGGAATATAGGGAAATAAGAGAAACGGACTATGCTTAGACCGGCTGGATAGCTTTCATAGATTCACTGCGAATCGCAGAATCCACAATTAAACGTCAAATTAAACCGAGAGAAAAAATGATCTTTGCACCATTAAATTTTTGTTTAGAAAAATTAAGGTTCCTTCAGAAGCAAAAAAAAACGAGTTCAGATTAAAAATTTAAATCCTTTAGTTCTTGTCTTTAGCGTACTACATGGTAGAAAAGTACACACCCAGGTTGATTTCGTAGCACACTTGAAAGTCCCACGCCTTCGCACTGTTGCCCAGACCACACCCGGTTGGGTCGGAACAGTAGATGTAATCGACGTACTGGTCGAAACAGTGCACGTCTCCAGTACTGTTGTAGACTAGCTGGGTCACTGCCACGATTGCGTCTGTGTTGGTGTTGGCATTTCGAACTAGCTTGCTGGAGTAGTTAACTGGCCACGCTGGAAGAGAAGCATCTGAAAAAAAAACACTAGTTGTTCCGACTTTTGTTACGAAAGTAACGGAATATTTGTGTTCGGGTGTTTTTTTAGACAAACTTCGACTTTTTAACTAGTCATTTTTGACGGATTTTTTAAATATCAATCGAAAGATATTGCTGTCTTGAGCCTAAACTTGAAAAGATATTTCACCTGGTATCATTGTTTATAAAGTTATGGGGGTTTAAAGATTGCCAATTTCCCCAATTTGGGATAATTAACGCGCGATAGATTTCGCGCTATTAACGCGTAAGCGGATATTTAATCCGTCTTAGAAATCGTTCCAAATTGGTTAAAAGAAGCTTACTTGCCATAAATGGTTTGTTACAAGGAGCGAAATCTAACTTTTTGTTTTTTATATGGCGTGTGGGGGGATGGTTTTCACAAAAAATCTCAAATTGAAAAAGATTTCATTTTTTTGTTACATTTATTTTTTCATGTTATAGCAGTCGGACCTTAATAGGCTCTCGGAACATTCAGGACTTTGCCCTGATACGAGCAGTCTTGTTTGAATTAAAAAATGAAAATAAAACAAGATTTCTCGGAAAGTTTACGAGTTTGCGACTGCCTTTCAAGGTCAATTGAGCAGTGTTTGCTTTTAAAGTCGGAACAGTAAGCATTTTCAAAAGGAAAATAAAATATAACGTAATTTTTTATGTTAATGAAAGTATAGCAGCCAATTGCCGATTTTCCCCTAAGGAAATGAGTGCTTTCATTTATTTGTTTAAGTATTTAGAAGCAACGAAAGTGGAAACTTCTCTAGAATGAAAACTTCTTACCAAATGTGATTATGGCACATATCTTGTTTTTTAGAGATCGTATCTGTTGTAAAGTTTTTTCTTATATATATCCCGCCTAGAAAAAAAAACTGGGTCAATAAATAATTTTTTTATTCGATTATAATTTCGCAAAAAATTGAAGTCCATTTTGAAACTAAAGTAATTAACGTTATATGTGACCTTCAATTTTTACTTTTGTTGCTCAATAGTGATTTTGGTTTCATTTAAACGAAAAAAAAACGAACTAAACTCAATAAACTATCTCAGTCGAAACGCGAAAAAAAACAAGTTTTAGCGTAAGAAAACGTAAGACTTTTTTTACTGAAAACTAAAAGAAGTTTCATTACAAACTAGGGCTCTTTTCCAGTTTCCCCTTTTCAAAATACCGAGTTTTATGTTTGTTTTATGTGTTATTACGGCTAAATGCGTGATGTTACGCTGTAAAGTATGAAGAACAAATCTGTTCGCAGTTGACGATTTGTTCACCACGCCAAATTTCATTGCATTATTAAAACGTAAAATAAGCTTTTCAAAATTGAATTTGAAAGGGGGGAACTGGAAAAGTGCCCAAACTAGATAAGTGACAATTTTTTTTCCCACGTTTTTTTTTCTTTTTTTGTCTAATGACCAGTCATTTGGAGAAAAAGCACGGTCAAGTTTTGCTAGTTTTGTCCAGAAGAGTACTGCCCTGTGGATTTGCTGAAGTGAAGGTTCATAAGCAGCAGCCGAGAATATTTAATACCAATCGATATATAAATGTTGCAGTTGAAGAACATACCAATCGATTTGGCAATCATTTTGTGTGAGGAATTTGGATTGCATTAACCAGATCCTTAAAATCAAGTTATTATATGCCGAGTGAAAAATACAGCCAAAACCTTCTTGGTTGTGATTTAAAAGCTACGAGAAATTTTCTAAACAGCAGGCCGAGTCTTAAGAAAATAGCTTGAAATTCAGCTTATCAGTATAACGAGAAAATGGTGCGCATAGAGATCAAAAGATAGTCGTGTTTTACAAACTACACATGACTACAAAACTCAGTAAAACATAAAATCAACCTACTTGGTATTGTTCAGTTAGACCATAATATTCCCACATTGTGCAAAAGAAAAAGAAATTGAAGATTATTATTTTCGCAGAAAAAAAAATATTTAATGTTGGTAAAAAATATCGGTTGGGTACCGTTGCTCTTGTCACACAATTTTGCCTCTGAGAACAGAGCTTACACTCTTACCAAAATCTGTGGCATAGGGGTAGTCGAACATGGTGATCTCGACAAACGCATTTCTGATCATGTACAGCAACTGAGTGAAGTCAGCCTGACTCGCAATAGTTTTGCAGAGATTGAACATCTGGGATACTTCTGCGTAGCCTGATGACCCGTTACTGGCTAGATTGCTGAGGTCATTGAACCCACTCTTAATGCGGTCAACCACATCTTGACCCACCTATTAAACACACGCAGCTACATAAAATTCACCGAAATTGTACTCATCGATAAATTTCATTCAAATTTCAGCCACGAGGAAATTTTTATATCCATCCCTTCTGTATAGCACCCATAAAGAACCCAGTTTTTGTCTAAAATCTGAGACAGAGTGCTGAATTTCAATCTTAAATGCGTTTGCTCCTGAAAAGTTGATTTTTAGCAGTCTGTTTTGTTTAAAAAATATAAAATAGAAGATTTCAAATTTCAACATTTCGGACTTAGGACAGTTTTTAAAAATCAAAATTTAAGTCTGTATGTCTGGATTTTATCGATTGTTAACAAAATTAGTTAATAAATTGTTAATTGGTTAATCTTTTGAAAAGAACAAAAAACGAATCGTTTGAAATCTCGTTTTTCAATCATTGCGTGACCTGTTTTTCGACGATTTTGATGAGCTGTTTTATCGGTTTTGGAATGCGTGTCAAATTCCAAGCTTAGACTTTTCGCTTAGTTTTAATCGAACTTCCATCAACTAAAATTTTCTTAAAAAGGAGTTTTGTCTTTATGATGAAAAAATGTGTAAAATTTAGTTTTTATTTACATTTGTATTTTAAAATAACAAAATATAGGACTCCAACTGAATTTCTCAGTGTGAAAAATTTTGTTTATAAAGAGACTTAAACTTTCCTGAGATGACAATTAATTTGCAAAGCTCAATTCACTTTACAATCCGACAAATATATTACTTTTTTTATTGCATCGTCGAAGCTAAGTTTGTTTAGCTGATATATAATTCTAAAAATGTATATAATTATTATTGTTTTAATGTATATTTAAGAGAGATGTTGACATTCTTTTAGTGAAATTATTTCTCATTCAGGGGATTAAAGACGCTGTGATTTTTTGTAAGTATACCAGAGAAGCTTACTAAGATTCGCTACGTGAAGCAGGTTTCATCTAAGCAAACACGCAGAGCCGGTTTTTAAATATTTCGTAAATAATTTTAAAATATTCAGTCAAACAAAAATTTATTTCATTTCAACATTCAATTCTTTAGAAACATAGTTGAACAAATAGATATTGTTTGGCTAAATTTATTGGATTTCTCAATTGATTTTTTCTTTTGACAGAAACTCATTTCGAGAAAAATCTATTTCATTGTCAGTCAATTGAAACTCGCTGCAAAAAAAAACTTTTGGTATCATTCACGACCATACACAGCTCGAAAAGCTAGTTCAAATCCCTTAAAAGGGCTTGCAGCGTTGTCAATACTTTGGCAAAACTTCAAATTCATTGATACCTTTATCAATTGTTATTTGTAAATGACGGAGAAAGTTTTGTTGGTTTAGAAAAAAGTTTAGCGTTAACTTTGGTATTTTAAGTCAAACTAAAAAGCTATGGATTTTAACCAAATACAGCAACAGCTTTTGCCACCTCCTGGTTCCATTTTCCCTTACTCTTCAGTCCAAATTCAAAACGAAAATGACTTCTTTGTCAAACAAGATGTTGGAGGAGTGCAAGGTCATCTACCCGAAGAGTTTTCCGAGAACCAGCAGCTGCCGACCTCGCTTTACCCGAGTGGTGTGTCGCCTATTACATCAGGATCCGACTCTAATACGAGCGGAAATGCGAATCAGCCGACGAGGAAAAAACCGAAAAGACGACGAATCATAACTCCCGAGCAACGAACAGCGGCGAATGTTCGAGAGAGGAAACGCATGTTTAGCATGAACGATGGATTCGACGAATTGCGAAAACACCTGCCGAAGTTCTCATACGAGAACAAATTATCACGAATCGAAACTCTGCGACTTGCCATTATTTACATTCAGTATATGACAGATATCGTTAAAAACAACAAAACTCCGACCGAAGCTACAGTTCGTAGTCTAAAACATGGCTGGCCGAGCTCAAAACCGAGATACCATTTCCCGCCTTTTTTGCCCGCTCATCTGTACCCAATGATTTCGGCTAATTGCGACATGGATTACTTCGGTCAAGGGATGCCAGTTTTCCCGATAGAAATGGCGGGACAATCTCCCACCCACGCTATGCAGACATTAACTTCATATCACAACGAGTACATGGAGTTGGCTCAAAATCAGAACTCTGAAAATTATTGGTGAAACTTAACTATCGACTAATTTGTTCACTCATCATGTTTCTAAATTAGTTCCAATTGTTGGTAAAAAACTGTAAAGCAAAATTGAGTGTTTAATTTAATTTCGGATGAAAATTCATCAATTGTGGGCTTGGAATAAATCTATTGTTATTTAGAATATATTTTGTAAAAATGAGGATAATTTTTTCACTAAGTTATAAATACAGGATTAACTCAGAACTCGTCACAAGAGTGTTATCAGTTCGCTCTCGGGAAATTCGGCATAGCAGTTACAGTTTAGAGTAGTTGGACAAGAGTTTGATTTCGCGGATATATTTTGTAAAATATCCGACATGGATATATTTTTTCCGTTATAGAAATGCAAATTCCAATATATGAATTAAAATACAACAACTGTGTTGATTTTGGAGCACTATCGTTACCATTTGCAAAAAAATCTCTGGTTATTAGATTAGCATGTTTTTACCTAAGTTGCTTAATTTTTTTTTAAATCACATACCTGCTGGTAATCTAGAGTAGCCAAAACCCAGAAGCTCTCGCGAGCAGTTGTCGAGTCAGCCAGACGAACGGGCGCACTCGCCGCCAATGCCCCGCTGACAACGTCCGGGTACTTGAACCGCATATAAGCCGACAGCATTCCCCCGTACGATCCCCCGAAGCAAATAACAGACGAGTTTTGAAGGTTGTAGACACCTTTTGAGCAGTGTAGTTCATATTATAATAGTCTATAAATTTTTGGATCAAGTTAAACCCTAAATAAACTGAGAAAATATTATCCACCCACTTTTAAATTTGAATTCAAATTGCTTAGCATGCGCGAAAATACTCGATTTTAATTGGCTGGAGTTTCCAATGGAGACAAATTTTACTGGAGGGACAGTGGAGCTTATTAACTAGTCAACCATTTTTCATGCAGGCATGCAGGTAAATAATTAATTAGCTAAAATGGGTTTTTTAAATGCAAATTACTAACATGATTAATAATTTATGAACAACACTGCCTTTCAGGTGGTTGATGAGGTTGGCAAAGTCAGCGGTCGCTTGGTCGACGGTCAGTAAGCCTATTTCTGGCCAGTCGAAACTGCTGTTTCCGAAGGGAAGCGAGTCTCCGTAGTATCGGTGCTCGGCAAAGACAACAAGAGCCTAAATCAAAATATTTTCATCTTGAAGTAAATGCCGAATTAGATTTGTGAGTTTTTTAGATTAGACTTAGATTAGACTTTACTGAGTTTTTTTGAAAAATAAACTTCGATTTGGAAAGGAATGTTATCGAAACCCTTTTCATGTCCTGAAACGCCAGCTAATTTAATTTTTTGTCATTAATTCTTTGGTTTTAAATTTTTCCATTTTCACTCAAAACAGCGAAAAAAAAAAACAATTTTATAGTATTCATAAAACTTTTTTTAGAAATTGATTGATGTGAATACTTGCCTTATATTTTTTCGCGAGGGTCAACACGAATCCTGATGCCGTGTAGAACCCATCAATTGGACCCTCATTCCCCGTGTACATGAAGATAGGACTGGGCTCAACATCCCCCTCCCCCTGACGATGACCCCTTTTGTGCTGGGGGTGCATGTAGTCTTCATTGATGAGGACCTTCTGCTTGAATGTCTTGTTTCCATAGTTGATCTCACTGTAGTGATCCAGTCTCTGGTCGAAGTAGATCACTTTCTGGCTGCAACAAAAAAAATCAAATACAGATGAAATATAAATTTGTCAAAAATTTCACCGCATTTCATTTTTCATTTTTCATTTTTTAAAGCTCCTTCCTCGCTAAAAATCCCTAAGTCGTATCTAATCATATCAAAAAGGTTTTTTATCAGGAAAACTAATTAATTGTTTCGAATTTTGAGGAAAGTGACGGAAAGTTTGCGCTTGGGGAGTTTTTTTATGCGGTGAACTTTTGACTTGTAACTAAGCGTTTATGCTGAACATTTCAAACATCATTGGAAAGATAGCGTTATCTTAAACTCAGATTACCAAAAAAGTACTAACTGTGGCTGGCTTTTGTAAAACTACGCGGGTTCGGAAGCTACTATTTCAGCTAATTTGGAATAGTTTAAAAGTGAAATATTGCGTTGTTTCAGCATACCCAATCGGTGCAGTAAATCATTCCAAATAGAAATGTGGGCAGAAATTTAGTCTTATTATTACGATACAAGATGCTAACACATTCTTTTGTACTTAGCATAACAAGTGGGGGGATGGAACGAAGACAAAGTAGAAACAAATATATTCGAATTGCTTTGCAACACAGATCACTATATGCTTTCATAAGAAACATTAATTTCTTGCAAGCCAAACACTGACATCATTCAAATTGAGACAAAAAATTTCCAATCAAGATTCAATTAAGAATGGCCAGGAATGAAAATCTTCCGGATCAGAAACATTGGGGACTTTCGTGATTATTGTTGAAAAAGATATACGTGCTCATGCTCCATATCGCACAAAAACTGTAAATCAGAAACTGGAAACCATTAAAAAACCACGGATTGATACAGCCTTGATGACTTTGATAAAAATTAAACACGAGTATTTCAAATTATGGAATTACATTGATTAATAGGTTGCGCACAGAAATTACAAAAATTGAGAAGCTTTGTCAACCGGAAACTGGCAATTGCTTCTCAAAATAATCATACTGAAAAATTTCAGCAGTTTTCGCATCTTGATCAACAATGGGATTTTACAACGCAAAAAATAAGGAACAAGAGAAATCAAAAATCAGTAATTATCAGCAAAAACAAATTTGAAAAAAAAACAACAAATTGTGGTACTGAAATAGCAACTCAATTGAATCAAGTTTTTTTTCAAAAGTAGGTAAAATAAAAAAAAAAATTACAACTGCCTTATTTGACTTTCATTGCGTCACAAAAATGTTACAAAATAAATAAATTTGTGTTAGATAAACTTCTAGGTGGCCAATGGGAATAAGAGCTTTTTGCCTACAACAAGGTAAGCTCGCTAGCGGAACACGCCCCCAATTCGCAATAATTGAAAGTAAATGCAACACCAGATTCTTTTATTCCTCAAAAAACCATGTATAACACCCGTCTTTAAAATGCAGGTAGCATCAAATCATAGGCCATTGTGTGTGACAAACACGGTTTCAAAAGATTTTGAACGCTTGCTTTTGAAAAATATTATGAAATATCTCAAACAAACGTCGCTATTAAACGTCTATCAAATAGAATTTTAGGGAAAAAATTTCGCGACTGATGCAGTTATCACTTTTACCCAAATGATTTTTGAAAACATGGATCAATAAGAAAAACATAGAAAAAATCAAAGTGTGTGGTTTAAAAAAAAAATCTTCAAATCTCATGAAGTATTTTTCAGCAGACTGTCAGCAGAGTTATCAAATTCAAAATCAATTTTCTGACGAGAAAACACTTAATCATGGCGTTTACATGGTACTGTTTTGAGATCCTTGGTTTTCATTCTCTTATATAAATTTCATTAAAAAACAAATAAACAGAAAAAAAGTTTGATGCAATTTGCTGATGAAGAATCTTATGAACAAGAACTCAATAACTGACCAATGAAGTCAAGTCAAAAAACCTTCACAAAAAATTAAATGAACTAAATTTAAGTTTTTTATAATGTTGACGAAACAGAATTTATTGTCTTTTGGAAAAGAATAGTTCGGAAAAATTTGTTTAGAGGGAAATTTTTGTTTCCACAAAAGACTATACCAGGAATCTTGGAAAGTTAGAAGACAGAAATCTAGATACTGTGAGCAACATAAGGTTCTTTTAAAAACCAAAAAATTGCTGGCTTTTCAGATCATTAGTTTTATCACATTTATTTTTCATTTCAGCATTGTTTCAAACTCGACCTATGGCTCAAAGTCTAAAATTTTACCACCAGAAGTATTCATTACACAACATAGCAGGACTAGAATATTCGATATGCCAAAACTTAATAAGACAATTGGAATTGGTAGGCAGTTTATATATATATATATATATATATATATTTTGTGCATTCATTTATTTTGACAGTTCTCAAAGGGCACCTGTGAAAATAAAAGAATGCACAAAAAAAATAAAACAACGAAGATTTAAAAAAAACCGAATGCAAAACAGGAAATAAAATGAAATTGATTCTCAAAAACAGTTATAATAAATGGAATAAATTAAACGTGCAGAAATTAAACCTAAAAAGTTAAATTTGAACTTAAAAACTTTTTGATAAGAATACTCGAAAAAAATTCATGATAAAAGACCCATTAGTTTTTTCGAGATTATTTTAAGATCTAATTTTAGTATAGTCATAATTATATGCCGATGTAGTTGTTAAATTTTAATTTGTTATGAGGATTTCATTTTGTAGCAGCATGTATGTTCAACCTAGTGGTTATTTTCAATTTAGATATTTGTGAAATTTCTCTCTCTTTTTTTGATGATTTGATCAATTTTTGGAACATTGGGATTTGTTTTTAGTTGCTCAGTAATCATTAACCCTCGTCATTGTATAGTTTTTATAATTCAGCTGCCTTTTTGTAAAAGAAAATTCGGAAGATTAGAAAAGAAAGAGTTTTCATTTTTTTGTCATAAAAAACCCGATTTTTTTAATTTGTACATGCAAAAATTGGAGAGAATATCCGTGCTATTTCTACAGCCTTAGGTTTTTCTGTTCAAACGATTTTTTTAAAGAAACCTTTTGAACAGCTTTAGTCTAGTTGTTTGTCGTAGATTTTGTTCGAAGTATTTGATTGTTAGAAAGTGTTCATCTGTAGCTTCCGTTTTTTGCAAACATTCTCTTCCAAGTGCTTGTCGAAATGCGCTATTAGCGACTCTCGGCGTTACGCTCCGATAAACAACAGTCAATTTGATAAACAGTTCGTGTCTAGGCGTTGGATAGCTCACAGCGCGAGTCAGCCTGTTTGTTAGCATTGAACCTTACGAATTAATCGAGAAAAATTGGCAATTAAGTTATTAATTGGGTTGAAATTTGCTGGTAGATCAATATAACTAGTGTATCGAGCCTGATAAAAAACTCCTAGAACACACCCTGTCGAAAGAAAAATTTTGCTCTTGAAATCAAACATATATTTTTCAACGACAAACTTATTCAAGTTAGAAATTAGTATATTTAGTCCCAATTTGATATAACAGCAGGTTTTGCCCCATTTCCATTTATTAAAATAATTGTCATTTTTTCCTTTCAATTGTTGGAAGATTCAATTGATTTGTTGCCTGCTATTGAATTGAAACAACTTGCATGGGGAGCACGGAGCATAGTTGTTTTGGAAAACACATGACGGTTATTGGCGCGAGAAGCGAACCAGCCACTGGTAATTAAAGAGTTTTTGTAATGGGACGGAATCTGCAAAGGAGTGAATTCTGTCAACTAAATTTGGGACGAAAGTATTGTAGGACGGAAGATACCTGTGCAATCTCAAGAAACCTAGTCCAACTACAATAGATGAATATAGCTCTTAGATTAAATCCTACAAAAGTCTTCAAAGTTGCCTCCAAAAACTAATTAGCATTAAAAAAAGAACCAAAAAAGTCTTTAACAAATAATGGTATCCAGAGATAAATACAATAATGGTTGTGTGGTGCTCACTAAATCGGCATGTTTCAACAATAGCTCTTCGCACACTGACCTTGAGCTTGTCTTATGACTGTTGAATTAAGAACTGATCACCTTGACCCGTTTGCTCAAAACATCATCGAAATTCCCTTTCCCACACATTGCCTTGATATTTTAGATTTTAAGCAGAAAACTATGAAAAAATTACACTCACCTCGTAACATTTTGAAGCGCGCATAACAAAACACCAGCCAAAATAAACAATTCTTGCCACATTTTCGAAGCTCAACTTTAAATACAATGATAATTTCGGATGACGAACAGGAACTACCAAAGCATTATCAAGTGAATAAAATTGAATAACAAAATACCATGTTAAACTGAAGTTTCTTATAACTTTGGACGACAGGAAGTTTAAACAATGGTACTATTCGTGAATAATAATAGAAATGTTTGCTTATATTTTCTTTTGGTAATCTTATCACATACAGCTAGAGTTCAGGAGGGTGTTTGCTGATGATAATTCATAATCATGGTGTCCAATTAATTATCCAATATGATAACTATGAAGAAGGTCAAATAATGGCTCTCGCAATCATTTTGCTATAAATTATGACATCAGCAAAAGGTCAATTATGGTTGCACCGTTTAGTGTGAATTACTCATGTTTATTCTCAAAAAATTGAAAAGAAAGCAGAATTTTTCTTTATCTGCATTGTTTTCGACCATAAAGGTTAGAAAATAAGCTCGCATCTAGGCCGGGGAGGTTTTTTTCCACGCAAAACTAGATGCCACACGCTAAATGCGAGTGTCGATTGAAGTAGAAAATCAAAGAACTTTCAGAGGAGTGTAACTATGTCGTGAAACTGTAGTTTCTGACTATTTGAGGCAAAGAATCACTGCTTTCGAAGGGAGTAACTTTTTGATAGTTTCAGCAGAACAGCACGAATGTGTTTTCTATCAAAATTGATTTATATTTTTTCTCGTGGTGTCACATTATTGCGCATGACCCCTCCCACGCAATGAAAACAAAGTAATATTATAGTTACAAAGGGACAAGCTCTTCTGCTTCTATCACTCAAACTTCATACCAAACACGTTAGGCCGTTTCTGTGCAATTAGCACAGAAGGTTCCGACCACAGTGATTTCAGAACAAAAATACGAAAAAAATCGAAAAAGGTTGAATTTTGCTTTCAACTGATTTTTTTTTCTCAAATCATTTTTTATTTCTTTTTTTTGTTACCGTTTGTGTTAAACTGAACTGATTTTGGTTGAAAAATACAGAAAGAAAAATGATAATAACAAAAACAACCTTAAAAACCTAGTTAATTGAATTGGGAGATCGCCTTCCCGCACCGAAGTTTCATGAATAATAATCGATTATATTGGATTTTTGTTGACAGTCTCAATAAAACTATAAAAATAATCAATTATAATCGATTAAAAATGCATTATAATGATACTATTTTTCTAAGCATTATAATCCAAATATAATCGTTTATAATCGATTATAATCGATTATTTTCGAAAGAAAATGAAACTTGTTTTTAAAGCAAAACAATCCATTTTTAATCGATTATAATCGATTATAATTGCGAATTTCTTCTTTTAAAATTTCAGGAAAATTGTTACCAATGTCAGTTGCTTAGTATGGAATAAATTAAATTATCTTCAATATTTTTTTGACAAGTTTTTTTTTCAAACTTTCGAAAAAAACTTTTGAAATTGTGCGACCTCAAATTGACTTTTAAATACGGAGTTAGCTTCAAACATGACAAAATATGAGTAATCCTTGTAATTTATATTATTATACCCTGGAACCTTGGATTTTTTCTTGATTATACAACGTTAATTCTTGATTATACCGGGAACGTTAATTCTTGATTATGACTGACCCTTTCCAGAAGGGTCACTCATAGTTATTCCAGACGTTCATTAACTTTCGGATGTCGGCAGTAATCCGACAAATGTCTGTGGACCCTAAAACGACTTTTAATTTTTTTTTATAATAAAGAAACTGTAAGATACTGAAATTTATTTTTTTTCTATAAATCTATTAAAATTTTTTCAGTCTTATATTAGTTAGATTAAACAATCAGGTCCATATAAGACAGTACTTAATAGAAAGTTCTCAGCAGCGCTTCAACAGAGTGAACTACCTTCTGCGCTTGCTCAAGTTGGTGCTCTATCAAGGATAATTTCTCTATATTATTGGATTTTTGCACTACTTGAAACAAACTTATTATTATTTTTGATAATTGAATCTCGACTAAATCGCTTTTATATAACACCGAACTTGGCCCTTCAATCTTTCATTAGTTGCAGGCATGATTGAGAAAAAACTCACCATGCTTATAACTCTTTCGCTTCACAAATAACGTAGTCGGGGAAAAAATTAACTTCAAACTGGGCTTGGTTTTTTTTATCAATGATGACTTGGCCCATCCGACTTACCTCAGCATCTGAATTTACAAGAGGCTATTTAAAAGTTTATTAAGATTCTCTTCGCTGCGCTCAGTTAACAAAAATAGTCTAGTGTTAGTTTCATCGGTAAACTCTTTAACTCATGAAACCAGATGCGTTGGAATGACGGACAAGTCTTGATCATTTTTTATTTTTTCAAATATGTTTGCAGGTTTCTATTGGCGGTCAAATTGATTTGAGTTTTGGTTTTGCACGTGCTATCCGATAATCTGACCCCACTATGTATGGCAAAAGGAAACTGGCGATCCAAGTTTTCGAATTGTTGATTATCAATTAACAATCCAACCAATAAAAATTTTCGCGTCAACCACAAGATAACTTGTAAACATATGCAAGACCAGGGGCGGATTTAGGGGGGAGGGGAGGGTTGCGGACATTCCTTCCCCTCAGGGATTCGACCCCTGCCGATCCAAATGGTCCCTTCTTTGGTACTTATTAAGAAATCCATTTTTGGCCGACCGACCCTAAAATTTTTGTAAAGGCGCCTTTGGCGCCTATATATACTAATTTTGAGGGGCGAGCGCGCGCCGAAAAAAAACGCGATTTTTTTTTGCTCAAAACTTAGCAAAAAAAGCCTAAAAATGCCTTTTTTGGACTGTTTTTTCAAAATTTTGCCTGCGGCGCAAAAAATTTCACCAAAACAGGGACTAAGCCGTGCTTAGGGAGAGCTCCAAAAATCAATTCGGTCGACCTAAAAAAAAGGCCGACAAAATTTTCGAAATTTTTTTGAAAATCCGCCCCCCTTCGAGAAAATCCCACATCCGCCCCTGTGCAAGACTGCTCGTATCAGGGCGAAGCTCTGAAAATTCCGACTGCCTTTTAAGGTCTATGGAGCAGTAATAACATGAAAAAATTAAATGTAAAAAAATTCAAATAAAAACTTAAATTTGAGACTTTTTGTGAAATTAATCCCCCCACACGCCATATACAAGTACAAACGATAGTTTTCGCTCCTTTTAACAAATCAATTATGGCAAAAAAGCTTCTTTCAATCAATTTGGAACGATTTCTAAGATGGATTAAATCTCCGCTTACGCGTTAATAGCGCGAAATATATCGCGCGTTAATTGTCCCAAATTGACCAAAATGGCAATTTGTAACCTCCATAATTTTACGAAAAAAGTTCACAAGTGAAATATATTTTTTTAAACTTTAAGCTCAAGACAACGATACCTTTTGATTGATAGAAAAAAATTAACGTTAAAATTTAAGTTATAGAGTTGAAATTTGTCTGAAGAAAAAAAACCTCCGCCGAGCACAAAAATTTTGTTACTTTCGTTACGAAAGTCGGAACAATAAATAGCACAATAAATCAGCATCCAAAAATAAATTTCTTCGAAACTTTTGAATCAAAATTTTAAGAATTACGTGGTAATGAAACACTGAGGGGAAAAATCCCTTTAGGGCGCTGGCGGAAAAATCCAAATACCAATTGCAGTGGGGAAAAAATTAACGCGAGGATGGAAGATAATTTTGTTCGTATAAATCGAATGGTAAGTTCAACGGCCAATTAAAAGGAGACTGAATATTTAAAAACTCGTTATTAATTTGTTTTTTAAATTAGTTTCATTTCTGGTTAACTTCCATCTATGCTTCTACTTCAACCCTAATTCAATTTATGGTGACCACGAGTAATTAAGTTTTCCGAGTTGCAGTTTTGCCTAATGCTAATGTGGTCAATATTAAAACAAGTAGTGCGGATTTTTGTCATAAGGTAAATTGGTACTATCGGCGACTTTCTTCCTATGTGGTTCTTGTTCTATGGGGGATCTAATCTTGGTGGATTATATCCGGTGGGATGTTATCCGGGGCGGTTTTTTCCTGGGGGATATAGTCCGGGAGCATGCATTATTTTTGGCGCTGTTTTATGACACCCTACACTGGTTTAGCTAAACTGAAAATTTCAAAAGCGCCTTGTTCTCTAACTTATTTTTTTTACGAGGAAAATCCCAAGACAAAAAATCTGTTCTGAAAGAAACGTAAAATAACGCACGCAAAAAGATTGAAAATCGAATTTTTGCCTCGCTTTTCAAAAATTGTCCTCCGGCATGATAAACGTTAGCCGGAGCCATTTGAAAAAGGGTTTTCATATAACCCAAATGAAACAGGGTTTTCATATAGATTTATGCCGGCAGCATTTAATTTCTGGGGGTTCATAGTTACTGTTTCTACTAACTGACGTGAAAAAAATTCAATGTCATGCATCAAAAGAAACACTATTAAGAGAGTGAAAAACAAACACAATTTTTTGTCCAGAAAATTTTTTTGGTTTCTCCATTAAATGACAATTGTGTATCACTATCACTTACTGTACTCCGACTGCTTTGTTTTATTATCACCCGGATTCATGGTTGACTCAAAATGAAATTTGGCGATGAGGACCTTTGATGAAGACATGCAGCTGCTAAGTCTTGGCTCAGAAACTTCACCTGGAAAGCTTCGATTTTCCAATTTTGAAATATAGTTTATGTTGATTGTTGAATTAGAAACAAAAATAACATATTTTTGATAGCCACCCTGTTTTTCAAGAATTTTTTCCATCATTGGCAAAACAACATGTCAATAAGGGCAGCAATTATCATCTGACAGTGAATCTTTTCCTGTTTTAATTGTGTTTCCACAAAAATTCCTACACTTATCTGCTTACATTTTTATCGGTTTTATGTCGGATGAAATTGCTAGCTAGTGCTGCTAAATTTTCAAAAAAACGCGTAAGTAAAAACACAACGCTCCTTTTCTTGCGCGAGTTTGTAGTTCAATTGTTCAAGGACTAGGCTGCTCGGAAAAATTGCTTTCGCACTTGGAAGGAAACTAATTCTGTATAGAGCTTCATTTTTTCTACTGCTCATGTCATTTCAAACAAGAAACCTTAAAACCATAGGGCACCTAAGATCATAATTTTTAGGTCAAAACAGTGGAAAGCTCAAAAGTTGTGGTTTTTTTAGGAATAGCAGTTATCCTTAGTCAGACAACAAAGTTTTGTTGCTTAAACTGCAAATTTTTGAGATTTTGTTTAAATCGACA